TTGAATAACACTTACTTCTGTTGCAGACTAGACGTCATAGAGCTCGTGACAAAGCTTAGTTATCAGGAAAGCGGCCATACTTCTTTGCTGGATGAATAATCAAACATTGCGAGCTAACAACTTATTTCAAAGGACAACAACCCACCCTACAAATAAAGGTGTAATTTCACATTCATGTTGGTGTACTGAGATCAGTGGCGGTTCTACGGGGTGGAACGGGGTGGCCGCTGCCACCTCAGAAAAATGCCTTGCCACCCTAGTTGCTGCCCTAAATGTAGGCAATTAATTCATTAATAATATTTTTTTAAATGTTGATTATAAATGTTGGTGACATTTCTCCATAATTTGTGTAAAAATTTTACTCAAGAGTTTAGAATTAACTCCCCCGCTTTGTTTTGAAAGAAAAGTTGTGGCTCATCGGACATTTATGAGAGAAAACCTCTAAAGTCCGAGTGCAAGTGAATGCAGCACAAGACGCGAGCCTTGTAACCCCTCCCCCGGCGCGAACTTGGAAAACGAGAAGTATTCGGACCCAAGTAGACGGAAGGAATGAGGTATTTGCGGTCTACAATGACAGAGAAGAGACTGTCAAGTTTGGCTGTACTCAGCATTGAATCAAAACGCACTAAAGTTGTTGATCTTAATCAGTTTGTGAGGCGTTTTGCTGAACAAAATGGTAATCGCCACATTCAGCTGTTATAGGCATGCCAACTTGATGCTCTGCTCACGGATGAGCATAACAAACTGTTAAGATGATGACCTTGTATGTATATATTTTTTTTCTTTGTGGGGGTCTTCCCCCAAAAAACTGTTCTAAGTCCTGAGAAAGTCAAATAAGACGGTGTGTAAAACTACACTGCCCAGCCAAAAGAAAGTAACCACTTTGATTTAACTAGGCCAGTAGGTAAGGACTTTCCACTGGATAATAACTGCAGCAATGTATATGTTTTAGCTGAATACACGTTTTTCAACCCTGATGCAGTTAGTCACTTCTTTAATGTTTGTTTTTTCTGATGTAAAGTCAAGGTTGTAACTGTTTGCAATAAAGTCGTAGGGTGCTGAACTGTTCCTTTGAATCTTTTGAATTTTGATATATGATAGTAATTACTTCAAATTTGAAGGAGGGTGAGCAAGCATCTTGAGGAGCATTCATCATTAACTCCTCCAAAAAATATAGTTTATTCAATAATAAATGAATATGTGGATCATAACAGTGATTGACAGCTGATAGGAATGATATGATTGTTAATATTATCATATTCATTCAAACAAACATCGATGAGACAGTTAATTAATGTACTTATTGCAGCAGCCTGCATAGATTTGGTACCCCTGCTGGTCTAAGAGTGAATCAAACTCATTCAGTTAAAATTCATTAAATTATGTCTGCCACTTTATATATTTCTATTCAAGGCTTTGCTGATGTGCCACAATAATGTCACCTAATGTTATTGAGTTAAAATATCAATATTGTGGCTTTCCAAGTTAACATTGATTGATATGACTGTGATTAAATCAGCATATACTTCTGCCAGGGGATGCCACCCCTCAAAATCTCCTGCCACCCTCTTGCCACCCCATGAATATTTGTCTAGATCCGCCCCTGACTGTGATAAAGTCATCTGTCACCCTCCAATACTCCGCTGTTGAGTCACTGAGTGGTTCCTTTAAAGGACGTAGTGGATAACTTGTTAATTTACACGATTAATTTTGTTTTATTATAACCTTTGCCTCATTTTGTAGTTTTGAGAATCTATACTACATTAAGGCCCCTGAACACATTTGTCACCAACCTACTGTTTTGAACATTGCCTGTTCTGAAAACAGAGATTTAAAAGGAAAACCTGTGGACAGTTTTCCAGCTGAATGCAATTTGCCCTTTTGATGTGAATTCAGAAGGAAGAAATGTTAATTTATTTCTAGGACCACCACATTTTTCATCTTTTTTGTCCTGTGTATTTTCAAAAGTTACATGTAGAAAGCTGTATTCATGAATCTTTATGACACAAGCTCCATTCTGTCTTTGCATCCAGAAATGAATGCATTTCAACTGACATCCAGTATAAATGTGCATCAGTAACCTCAAAATCTGATGCTATAGCTTCACTGTAACTTTGTGTCTATTGGCACTGATCTCTATGGAATTTAACTGTTTTTGAAATGAGGCCTATTTACATAGAAAGGGGCGGATTTTACCCCAAATATATGCACATTTTATGCATGCAAATATCGCAGAGACACCAAGGTGTTATTTGTTCTGCAGCATAGTAAGGGGTAGAATTCAACCTTTACTGATGCTTTCACAATTACAGTTCTCATTCATAACACTCCGTTCGATGTCTCACTATGGGATGCGCCTCAACGCGTATGCAAACAGAAGCATCTCATTACGCCAATCCTGATTGGCTGGTGATCTTGACGTCTACGTCAGGGAATCCACCCACCCTATAAGTAGCTTGCGCTATGACGCAGCGTCATTCACACACCTCTTCTCGCTTCAGAGCACATCTCGAATTATCAGTAGCCGGGCTAGCTTAACGGTCCACAGACTGAACCCAAAGCTAACATTCGGTCGACGGGCGCTTGCGGGTTACTTTTTTGCTTTGCAAGAAGACTGAACAATATTAACACACCAGTTAATATTGTAATCTGCCTCGCCATTTCTTTCTTTCGAAATTACGGTAAGGTTTGATTTTTTCTTCAAGCTAGTAACATACCTGTTGCTAGCTTTTCTTCCCTCCAAACCGACACCACGGTAGCGAGGACGTTTTTTCTTTTCTCTCTCACACCAGAGGAGACGGAGATAAAAACAAAAGGTATTAACACACCAGTTAATATTCTTTAAAGAATAAAATCTACGACGTCGCTTTTTCCTTTCGGATTAACGACAAGGTTGGATTTTTTTTCTCAGTAACGTACCTGTTACTAGCGTGTCCACTCCACACCGACACCCCGGTGAACAAAGATGGACCCTTCTCTCCCTCACACCAGAGGAGTCAGGGACTCGGAGGCTCGGCTATGCGTCTGCGGGTTTAAGATCTCAGGCACAGACTCAAACCAGGTCTGCTCGTCCTGCCTCGGGCTGGAACACGCCCAGGAGGCTATTGATAACCCCGGCTCGTGCGCTTCACCATTAAGAGCCTCCGCCGACGGTTAGCACGCCAAGCTAGCTTGTTGGGACAGGACCCCCTCATGTCCGCTGGCTGATTCCGCGGGCCGGGCAATCAAGACATGGTGGCGGTCCGCCCGCAGAGATTGAGCCACGCCCTGTGTCAGGCCTGCGGGCTCCAGGATAACAGCGGCCAGCCGCTGCAACCGGAGCCCGGCGCCCGTGCTCAGACTGGGGGTCCCGCGTCGGCGGCAACGAGCCGCAGAGCCACGAGGGCGGAGCCCTCCGCGCTCGTGCTCAAGCTGGGGCTCCCAACTGCGACCTCACCATTGGTTCCACACCGCGGTAGGATGTCCTGGGAGTTGGACTATAGTGGAGGAAGAAGAGGACTGGGCCCCTCTGAGTTCCTCCTGTTCCGGACTCGGGATGAGCAGAGGCATGACATCTGTCGTTTCATCGGCTCAGGCCTGCAAAGCCGGAGCGAGGGTCCGGCTGGCTCCGGGCGAAAGCACACCAGCTTCGCCCCTGCCTAAGTATGGCACTTGCAGGCCCCGGTGTGTCAACGCGTTGCTCCAGGCTGCGACATCCCATGCCTGTGAGTGGGCCCAGGGACCTCCAGGATCTCGCTACGATGGGAGCAATTGCCCCAAACGCGAGGACGAAGAGCGCAGCTCCTTCC